ATGTTGTATGCCGAGCATTTGTATTTCTATTATATATTACATACACATGTACCTGTGGATATGTATATGCATAAATGTAGGGTGGATCATGGGTAGGTAATTTTTCCATTCTCATTTTTTAGATGAGAAAACTGAGGCTTGAGAATTCAGCCAAGCAGTAGAAGAGCTGGGACTTGAACACAAGCTGGAGCCCAAGCTGTCTAACCATCATGTTTTACTGCCTCCCAACGTGAGGCTGTTTAAAAGTGCTTGTGATGTACCAGACTGGCTGCTGCCGCTGAGGGAGATGAGAAGACAGGAAGAAAGAAGATGGTAGATGCTGGGGAAAGGCACAGGGGTGTGATGAGGAGCCTGAGGAAGAGGGAGTCATTTTCATCTTGGAAGATCACCGGAGGCTTCCTGGAGGAAGAGGCATTTGAAGGGGAAGGATGGGACCAGATTCTGGGCACGCAGGAGAGGGGATGAGAGGAGGACCAGGCTGAGAGAGCCCTGAGGGCACAAGAAGAAGAGGCCGTGGAGACCCAGCTGCAAGGGCCTTCGCAGGTCATCTTGCCCCGTTGCCGTTGTCCGTCCACCCATATTTACACTGCCAGCTTCCGAATTTACATACCCAGTCCTGACCATTCCCCTGACCTCCAAACTCGGTGATCCAGCTGGATGACAAATAGCCATGTCAGATTTAACACAACCGAAACAGAGTTGCTGGTCTCCCCCGCCACACACACACTCCAAACTGCTCCTCTCCCAACCTTTCTTGGTCCTGGGCACTACCAGCCACCCATGGCTCAGGCCCCAGACCCCAGCATCACACTTCCTTCCTCCCGGTCCCCACAGCCAGTCCACGAGCACATCCCATCAGCTCGATCTGTGGAGCACACCCTGAATCTGACCACTTCTTACCACGTCCCTGCTGTCGCGCTTGGCGTGGCCACCGCCATCGCTCACCTGGACGGCAACTGGCAACCAGCAACCGCAGCCCTCTCACTGCGCTCCCTGCTTCCGTGCTCCTGAGGCCAGAGGGCGAAGCCTTCTTTGCCGCTTCCAGCTCCTCCTGGCTCCAGGTGCGGCTTGGCGTGGGGCTGCCTAACTCCCGCCTCTGCTTCTGTCTTCATGTGCCCCTCCCTTCTGTCTTCCCTTCCTAGTATTGGTGACTCCTTTTACTGGTCATTGGATTTAGGGCTCACCTGGACAGTCCAGGATGACCTCAGATCTTTAATTTGTTTTAAAGATGTTATTTATTTTAAAAATATTTTATTTAGTCATTTATTTTTTTAGAGATAGGGAAAGAAAGGGAGAAAGAAAAGGAGAGAAACATCAACGTGTGGTTTCCTCTCATGCGCCCCCTCCTGAGGACCTGCTCCGCAACCCAGGAGTGTGCCCTGACTGGCAATTGAACTGGTGACCCTTCGGCTCGCAGGTTGGTGCTCAGTCCACTGAGCCACACCAGCCAGGGATAGATCTTTAACTTAATTACATTTGCAAAGCCACTTTTTTCAAATAAGGTCACACTAATGGGTTCTAGGTGGACATACCTTTTAGGGAGCCACTGTTCAACCTACTACAGAGGGGAATACTGGCGGGGGGCGGGAACAGCTAAAAGATTTTAAACTTTAGTCCTTCGGTGAGTGATTACTTTTCAAAGCATCGGCGCCTGTCTTCTGGCCTGCACACACTGGCTGTTTCAGCACTGACTGTCCACGCATGGCTTCAGAGGTCGTTCTGAGGAGGGAGCTGCTACAATGTGCTTGCTGCAAGGCTGGTTTGAGGCTACGTATCTCTGGCAGTGGGGAGTGGGCGTGTTTTTCAGGCCTAAACCTACCTGATCCTCTCTGTTCACTGCTGGGAACAAAATTGTTTCCTTCTGAAAAATGCCCCCCTCAGCCCTGGCTGGGTGGCTCAGTTGGTTGGAGTGTTGTCCCATAACCAAAGGGTTGTGGGTTCAATTCCCGATGAGGGCACATACCTAGATTACGGGCTTGATCCTTGGTCAGGGCACAGACAGGAGGCAACCAACCAATCGATATTTCTCTCTCACATTGATGTTTCTCTCTCACATTGACAATTCTCTCTCTCAAATCAATAAAACCCTCGGATGAGGAGTTAAAAAAAAAATAGCCCCCTCAGTAAAAAACCAGCTGCTAGTGTTGGCAATGAAAGGAAAATGAAGGGATGCAGGAAAGTGCTGGTACCCGCCCGGGACGGTAGGCAGCCTCTAAGTTGGGTGTCCCCTTGATCCCCACCCCTGCTTTCGTGTCCTTGTCTAATTCTTTCTCCTCGAGTGTGAGCTAGCTGAGCTAGTGACTTACCTCTACCAATAGAATACAGTCAACGTGACAGGACGTCCCTTCTGAAATTAGGTCACAGAAAGGCTGTGGCGTCCGTATTGCCCACCTTTTCTTGTCCTCCTGCTTGCTTGCTCCAAGGGAAGCCAGCAGCTCCATGGAGCTGCCCTGTGGAGAGGCCCACGCCGCAAGGCACTAATACTGCCAGCCAACAGCCTACAAGAACCTGAGGTCCTCAGTCCAACAGCCCTCAAGGAACAGAATCCTGCCAACAACCTTGTAGATGAGCTTGAAAGTGGTTCCGAGGCCTGCAGACAGCCATCGGCCTGAGCGTGGACACAGATCCCCCTGTGGAGCCTTCCAGTGGCTGCAGCCCGGGCGAGCACTTCCGCTGGAGCCTGTGTGAGACCCTGAGCCAGAGGCACCCAGCTAACCACACCGAGTCCTGCCCCACAGACCCCGTGTGTCTGTTGAGGAGTGTTTGTTGTTTAAGCCACTGAGTTTTGGAGCAATTTGTTAGGTAGCTGTAAAAACACACAGATATACATGCAGATTCCTAGGATCTGTTCAACCACGTGGAAGACTCCCGTGACAGCCACTGCCGTGTTTATAAATCGGGGGGTGCTTCATGGGCATAGCAAGTATCCATCAAACATCAACAATACCTCCTCCCACCGTTTTGGTGCAGTTTGTATTTTTAAACAAGCAGAATATCAAGCTATAGTGACAGTTGCATGTTCTATTTTTTTATGCTTAATACATTGCAAGTATTTCTCACCTCATTAAGGAGCCTTCAGAACATTCTTTGTTCTTAGTACCTCTCCAGTCACCGTCCTGTGAGTGTACCACTGTTCACTTAATCACTCCCCTCCCCTATGTGTTTTGAGCCTAAGGAAGGCTTTTACCTTCTTGGGTCCTGTCTATCAGCCTGGGGCTGCAAGGAGAGGGTGGCAAGGCAGGAGGCGGGACCGCCTGGGACCAAGGGCTCCAGATGCTGCATCAAGTCTACACTATTCCCTAGCTGTGTGACCTTGAACCTGTTACTTAACCTGCTGGGCCTCAGTTTCCCCTTCTGCACAGTGGGGATAATAACCATACCTATTTCACAGAGTTATTAAAGGGGTCACCGAGTTAACTCAGGTAAAGCACAGCCCAGCGCCTGACAGATTTTAGGGCCTATAGACCAAGCCAGGCTGTGGTATTCTCATCTGCCTGTCAAGTCGTGGTCCACGTGCATCACATCAACTCATCCCACCTTCCAGCTGCCCTCTAACGAGCGTCTTGACTTCACTCATGCAAGTCTACACTCCCTGAACTGTCTGGTGACCTTAGCTCTGCTGCCATCCACAATCCTGTGACCATCACATCCACTCTTGCTGGGTGACCCTGGGCAAGTCTATCCCATCTCTGGGCCTCAGTTTCCTCACCTAGAATATGCGAGGGGAGTTAGAGTAGGAAGTGCATGAGAAATCACCCACCTCTAAGATCCTAGACTGTTACCTCTTCTTTCAAAGGTCCTTTGTTTTCAACAGTACAGAGTACAAGCAGAGCTTCAAACAACTAGCCAAAGCAAAAGGAATTGGAAAACACTTTATTTACCATAAGATGTGCCGAGACTTATGCTCAGCACCCTGGGGTGTGTCAAATTCCAGCATAGTGTCTGCTTACAGAGCTGGTGAAACTGAGTCAGGAGCTGGATCTTCTCACCTTAGGCCCCTTACAGTGCTTGTCCTGAGTCTGAGCGAGACCCCCCTCGGAGCCCACACTGCAGCTGAGCTCCAGCCTGCGCCCCGACCAAAGAACGACAAGAGGTGCTTGTCAGAGGGGCCTGGGGCTGCACAGGGTGCAGGCGGTGCTGAAGAAGACCCAGGTCTCAGTACTGCCAGGCTCAGGTCCAGCACTTGCTTAAACATAACCTTGCACCCGACCCTTCCCTCATTCTTTCCTCCGGCATTTTGTCTCTCATGTCCCTCGTGGCCTTGGGGTGGGGTGGGAAGGGAGCTCTTTGGGAATAGCCTGGAGAGGGGACCCTGCAGGATCTCCCTGGGTGCTGGTATAGCTACAGGCAACTCACCGGTAGAAACCCCAGGGAGACTAGTCTAGGCTTCGCCCCAATTCCCACCCACAGGCTCAGTTTCTGGAACTGAAAACAATGCTAGAGGAAGGAAGTGTCGGCTTCCAGGCTCCCACCTGGCCGATCCCCACCCATACGTGGACTCTGGCCTGCACGTCTGTTAGGGCAAAGTTTCAGGGACTGCAGGGCTCTGCGGCCTGGGAGTCACAGAGCAGAAGGAGAGCTCCTCCCCCTCCCAGCACTTAAACCTCTTCACACCCGTCCACAGTTTTCATGACTTCAGTCCCTAAGTCACCTGGACCAGGATCCTACCAGGAGGAGGAGTAGATGGTGGTGTTTCAGGTCCCTAGACAAGCCGTGTGACCTTGGATAAGTCATTTGGCTTTGCTGAGCCTCTGTCTCCTCTGAAAAAGTGGAGTGACAATCTGGATTTTGCAGAATGACCATGGAGCTGACATGAGATGGAGGTGGTGGCAGGCGTGGCACAATGGTGGGCACTCGGGGATGGCTTCCTTTCCCTGAGGAAGTGCCAGGCCAGCTGGTCAGCCGAGAAGGGCAGCCTCCAGGGGCAACGGAGAAGACACTTGTGCTAAGGCTGCCTCCTGGGCCTGAGGAAGGGGCCAGCCAGGCTCCAGGGGGCTGGGTTAGAAGTGGACCCGAGCAGAGGAGAGCAGGGGGAAGGCCGGGAGGGGGTGGGGGCTGAGATCCACGCCCAACCCTTGCTGATCTGCTGATGAGAAAGCAGGTTTGTCCATGTCCTGCAGGCAGGCCAGCCCCAGAGCAGTCGAGGGACTGTGGGGCGAGGACACCAGCTTCTCCTGGGTGAGGTGCTCCGGCCCAAAGGGCTGCGGAGGGGCAGCTTGGGCTGAGGAGTGGGGCAGGAGGTCTTTGAGCTTGGAGGAAGGTCTCAACAGGCTGGAGCCGGAGGGCGAAGCAGGCTGGACAGGGCTGGGGGATGGCTGGGCAGGAGGAACAGTGACCGCAGTAGGGCAGGGGGACAGCAAGGGCAGAGGGGACAGGAGGAGGCCAGGGGAACCATGCGGCTGCGGATATGGAGAGAGTTTGTGCTGAGCCGCGGGAGAGGAGACTGGGCTCTGGAAGGGGTCCGCCTGCTGCTGGCAGCCGTGTGGCCTCTGAGGCGTGGGGTCCAGGGGCCGCTTGGGCTGGCCCCAGAACTCCGGAGGCAGGGGAGCCAGGCAGGAGGCATGCTCCGTCGGGCACAGGCGCTCGTGCATGTGCCAAGTCCGCCTCCACCACGCCAGCTCCAACTGCAGGCCCTGGATCTCCTTCCGCAGAGCGTGGTTGTGTCTCTCCAGTGACTCGTGCTGCTGGAGGGAGGGGCGGTGAGCAGGGGACAGGGTGTCAGCCAGCGCTGGAGGCTCAGCATGAGCCCTGTGCATCCAGCACCCCCGCCACCAACCCCTCAGCGTTCTCAGCATAGCGAGAAGATACCAGCAGCGTGCATGTGTCCAAGGTGGGGGGCCCTTGGCTACTCCCTGGCCACCCCTCCACAACCACTGCCAAGTCTCCCCCATCCCACTCCTGCCAGGGCTCAGATGTACCTGCTTCCCACCCTCAATTCCCCAAGCGGGGGTCTCTACCAGCCTGTGACCGCCATTCATCAGGGAGCTCCACCTGCCTCCTAACTGGGGCACCCCCCCCCCACTACCCTGTTTTCTTGGCCCAGAGGAACTGTTGGGCAACTGTGTCATTAAGCAAACATTCTAAAGGTTCCCACGACTCCCCATGCACGGTGACCCCAGCTCGGTGACCCCCAGCTCGCACTTCCAGCTTTCTCTCTCAACTCCTCCTGGCCCCCCACTTCCTGTCCCTCAGACGGACTCTACTTCCTCACGACACTCCCTGCCTCCTCTGCCGGACACTCTTTCAGCGCTCAGCACTCCCCGGGCTCACCCAGACTTCTCAGGGCAACCGCAGCCCAGACGGCCTGCCGTCCTGGGTGCTTCCAGGCTGCTCGGCGCCCTGCTGGACCTCCCAGCGCCTGGGCACCGGGGCGGGAGCCGGGCCCTGCTCTGCAGGGAGACAGCACAGGGAGCTCTAGTCGGCATCCCTGAGTCAGCGTGCGTCAGGGTCGGTCCTGCTGGGCTCTGAGAACCCGCAGGGTTAAAAACCAACATGCAGTTGTAAACAACCATTTATGATGACCACAGTGGCGGAAAAGGCAGAAAGAACACTGTTTCCACAGCGCAAGAGACTGAACCACTTTCTTCCATTCCCTCCCCCACCCCACCCCTTGTGGATACTTTTCAAAAGAAGAAGCTGCAAGGGCGGTTTACATAAAAATGTTGCTTAGGGCATGGACTCAAAGCCCTGACAGTCAAAGCCACCAGCAGCCCCATCCCAGGCTGGTCTCTGCATGTGGGATGACATTTTTTAAATGTCATTAGGTCACCCTTCACCTAAATTCTCCAAAGGCTTCAACTCACCTCCAGAAATTGAGTTACTCACTCATTCATTCATTTGCCACTTTAGGCTGCTCAAAGGCCACCTACTCAGGGAGGGCGCCCCTAGCTAGGTTTCCGTCACCTCCCCCGCCCCCTCCCTCGCCTCTCCCCTGCTTTAACTCCTCCCTGTGGCACTGTCACCATCGGACACGCCAGGGGCCTCATGGACCATTTTTTTGTCTGCCCTGCTCCCCCACAAAAACGTGAGCCCAGGGGAGGGCAGGCTGGACTTTTGTCCGCTGTGTTCACAGCTGTGTCTCCAATGCCTAGATGCATGCCTGTCACGAGGAGACACTCAACAGGGGGCCCTGGGAGGAATGAATTAGTGAATGCACGGAGCCCCGCCCTGGCGCCAGTCCTCGCTCCCACGCCCCACCCCCGCAACTGCGTTTGCCCGCAGCGCCCTTTCTCCCTCCCCTCCTGTTGGAAAACTCCTATTCCTCCTTCAGAATCAGCTCAGACTTCATCTCTGCATCACCTTGAAGCTACTCTCTGTTGTCGCCCCTGTGTGTTTCTAGAGCACTTTTATTCTGGCTCTGCAGGGAATTACTGAGTCCCTTTCATTTGTCAGGCACTGGCCCAGGTGACCGGGAAACAGGAGAGTTCCCTGCCCTCAGGTTGCTTACAGTCTGGTGAGGGGGACAAGCAAGGAACAACATCCAAGGGGGTCAGTGCCGACAAGAAAAGTAAGCCAGAATAACAAGGAGAGATCTCTTTAGATCAGGAGGTCTAGGAAGGCCCTTGTTAGGAGGTGACATTTAAACCATCAACTGGAAAGACGTGAGGCTCTAGCTGGACTGCTGTCTGAGGGTAGAGGGAAGAGCAAGGGCGGGGCCCTGAGGTTGGGGGTGCTTGTCCAGAGACACACGTGGGAGAGCAGGGTGGGGGGCATTAGAGAGGAGGGCAGGCAGGTGGGGGTCGGTGTTGCAGAGCGCGTAGGCTCCCCGGGTGCAGAGGGCCGTGGGTTCTGCTCACCAGGAGAAGGACTAAAGCACAGGCCAGGTCCTGAGCCCATCTCTCAACAGCCCCCCATCAGGAATAAAAGGCGTCCTTCCCCTCTGCACAGAGGAAGAAGGGGATCTCCAAGGGCAGGTGAGCGTCCAAGTTCAAATTACCACCCAAGGTCAAGAGGCCAGTGCAGGTGCGGCCTCTCCTGCCCCACTGCGCTCCTTTGCCTCCTCTGGTCTCCACCAGGTCCTGCCAGCGGGCAGGCATTCTTGTCCCTGTTTTTGGATGGGGACAGTGAAGCTCAGCAGAGGAAGTGACTTGCCACAGCAACTACCACAGCTGGGACTCTAAAGCCGGCGCATCTGAAGCCTGAACCAGAGTGTCTCATAGCGTGGCCTTGGCTGCCTGCATCAGAACTGACAGGCGGCAATCAGTGTAGCTCCTGGCCTCCTGAGGCGGGACTCAGGGGTGGGGGGTGGGGAGTGGCCAGGGATCTGCCTTTGAAGGGGGCAGCTCTGGTGGCAGTGCTGGGCTCTCCCAGTTTGCCTCCACTTCTCCTCTCCTCTCCCTGCACTGTGGGCTCCTGGAGCGCAGGGCCGGCTGCGGACACCCCTCTGTCCCTGCAGCCCAGCGTGTACCTGGCACACGGTTTGCACTCAATACCTGGGAATTCCCAAATCTCAGTGGCCGAGCCCTTCCCTCCTCCCAAGTTCAGCACCAGGGAGCACCCAGCAGTGTGGCGGGGTCTGCTCAGAGGGGGTAGAGGAGAGGCAATGGGCCAGGTGAGCGCAGGCAGGGGTCAGGAAGGGGGGTCCCCCACCTGGTGCAGCGTGTCCGCCTTGTCCGTGTGCTTCTGCCGGCTGCGCTGGGCAGACACCCGGTTCTTTTGTTTCTTCTTCAGCTGCTTCTGGTGCTCCTCAGGGTCCTGCGGAGCATAAGCCAAGGGTTCGGGTCCTGGCAGTGGCTTGTGCCCTCCATCCTGGCCTCTGGAAAGCCATGCCCTTCCCAAGTTCCTGAAAGTCCGCTTTTTCCCAGAAGCCACCTCTGGCTCCGTCGGAGCCCACATACCCCACTGCAGGCATGGCACACCTCGCTGGACAGCCAGCCTCCCTCATTGTCAATGTCCTGCTCCCATCTCACACTGGGGGAGGGCAAACGAGGAAGCCAGGTGGCTGGGATTCGAACCCAGACAGCCCTGACTTCACGCCCACACTCTTATCAGCTAGGTCGCTCTGCGCAAGTCACCTACTTCTCTGAACCCAGCGTCTTCCTCACAGGCCACGAAGCGGGCAGCCCAGGGCCAGCCCCGAGCCAGGGCTTAATAAGGTCAGCCTCCGGGCACTACTGTTTCCACAGCTGAGGTGGTTGATTTCTCTGGCTTTGAGCTCCACCCTCACATGAGGGAAGGGCTGGGGCCTGACTCGGCTCAATGAGCAACTCAAGCCCAAAGGTGACATTCACCTGCTTGGCAAATATTTATTGAGCACCTACTGTGTGCCAGGCACTGAGCTAGAGGGACACAGCAGTGAACAAAACAGGCAAAAATCCTTGCCCTCAAGTTGCTCACATTCCAGTGGGGCAGCAGCCTGGAATGAATGAATGAAGTGTGTTCTGATGAAAGAATGGCCACAAAGGATGACAGCTGTGACTGTTTCTTGTCCCCGGATGCCAGATTAGGATGTCCGTGCTACTTAGATGAAATATTTAGCCCAAATGCCCAGAGTTTTGGAAGGTCAGATGAGAAGGAACGCTGGAGGCCCAGCCGCCCCACCTCCCTCCCGCGGGTCTCTCTAGGAGGTGTGTCCAAAGCGCAGGGAGCTCAGGCGGGAGCCGGGCCTCCCTGCCAGAGGATGCTGTGCCCCTGGGCACACGGCCACAGCAGGCCCGCCCCGGGGCTGGGGCCAGGGGAGGTGAGGGACTGGAGCTTGGGGGAGAGACCCCCACTGAGAGAAGGGTCTGACCTCTGGACACTGGGCCCTGGGGGTGGGGCGGGGCCTCCAAGGGGAGGGAAGAGAGGCTCTCTCTCCGGCAGTGAGGGGAGGACAGGTGGCTTAGGAGAGAGCAGTAACCAGAGGCCTAGTTCTAAACTGGAAGCTGGCTCTGCAGGATGAGAACTGGGAAGCCCTCATTCCAACCCCTGGGGAAATTGAAGCCCAGAGAGAGGGGACGTGGAGCCTGCTGTCACACAGCCCTCTGTGGGGCTGGGACAGGAGCTCTGACCTCATTCTCCCCACCCAGGCACTGGGGACCCCCGGGGCACACGCCCCGCCCCCCCCCGGGACTTCCTGTACTCACCTGCCCGGTCAGCAGCCCTTCACCCCCACAGAGGTGCATGGCTGGGACAAAGTCTCACACCTGGTGCAGGGTGTCCCTCTGCTGCTGTGACCTCCTAGTGCACTCTGGGAACCCAAGGAAGTGGTGACTCCTTAAATCCCCAGTGACCACTCCGCCCCCAACAAGCCAAGTTTCAGTTTCTTCTAAAGCCACCGGCTGCTCAGAATCCCTGGCTCGGGTTGGCTCACGTGGCTGGAATTTCCTGACATGAACTGGTTTTCCGGTTGGGCCCCTTCTCGGAGAGGGGGACAGTGGAGAGCAGCCAGGGGAGGGGAAACCGAAGCCCAGGTGGGGGGATCCTCTCGGGGAGGGAGGGCGGGCTGCCAGGGACACAGTCAAGAGAAGACAACGGGGCACTGAAGGCACAGAGGGATATAGGAGGCCTCTGGGCTCTAGAATAGGAGGGACCCAGGTTTGTAGCCTACCCCTGGCACACTGGAGCTGTGCAGCTTTGAGAAGGTGGTGTAGCCTCTCTGAGCCTTAGTTTCCTCAACTCTAAAGGGTGTTGGGGGGATGATGCAAACGCCTACTCACAGGCTTGATATAGAAACCACGCGAGATAACACAACCACCCCAAACCCTCTGGACCAATGTTGAGGCAAAAATAATCAATGGCCCTTAAATAGGAGAACAGATGAATAAATTATTGTTTTCATTCCAAAGACCACAGAGCAGCAGAGAGGGTGATGTCTGGCAGTCAGAAGCCCAGCTTCCGAGCTGTGGGACTCAGGGGTGTAATTTCACCTTTCTGTGCCTCTGTTTCCAAAGCTGTAAAGTGGGGATAAAAGTAACTTTGTTGTGAAGATTAATTAAGTTAAGCCAGGTAAGGCCCCTGAAAGCGTGGCTGGTGCAGAGTAAAGGCTCAACAGATATTCACAATTAATGCTGTGGAGGGAGAGCCAAAGCCACACCAATCACCATGCCTGTAACTCTGTAACATCCCACCGCCTGACGGTAACCAATGGCAACATGGTCTGAACAACATAATGTCTGTAAGGTTGAATAAGAGGGACATGCCAATATGTCATAAAAGTAAAAAATATGCATGGGAATGAGACACTAAATTCAGAGAGATGGACTGAGAAGGGGACACAGGATCTTCAGTCATGTCTGAGGTGTTTGGCTGCTTAAGCTGTGGAAACACATATGTGATAATATTGGCACTTTAGGGTGTACCTGAAATGTTTCCTAATACAAAATTGTGTTACAGACCTAGCAGACCCTGAAACCCCAGGCACACCTGCGTGGTTGTTGCATCTCTGAGAGAAGTTACGCTTGGAAGGGACATCTGTGCGTTAGGGGATGGAGGAGCAGTAACCTCTGTCCAAGAGCCACATGTGCAATACATCCGCGTGGTCTGGTGACTGGAACATCTGGGGGCTGTGCCTGAGTCCTGAGGACTCAAGACTGGTGGTGTGGGATGAAAGGAATGGCAAATACTGTGGATTTGATCTTCTGGTGATGGCGTCCTGGACCACTGTGCTGAGGAGTGCGCAGCTGCCCATGATCTTGTTTAAAAAAAAGAGCACCACAATTGATTAGTAATGTCTGCCAAGCTGTGATTGATCAGTGATGTCTGCCATGGGCAGAGAACTGAAAGTAAACCGTTCCTAGAATTGGGCATGAAACCACCCGGGCTCCGAGTTAGTTAGGAAACTGACTCTGACATGGGCCACTCTACTCGCCAGGTCTATCGCCCTGCACCTCCGTGTTCGCACATGTATACCGGGCCAGACAGCAAAAGCACACCTATTTTACAAAGTTGCTTTGATGATGAAAAAGAGGAAAATGAGAAGAAAGCTCTGTGCATATTGTAACATACTATTCAGCTGGAATTCACTCCCAGTCCTGGAATTTGCAGGAGCAGAATCCATGCAGGCTCATAATTTAAAATGCCTGGGTGGCGGGGACTGGGCCTGACAGCTGGGCGGGGCCTCCTTGTGCTCAGGGGGCCTGGGAGCAGAAGCTGAAGTGGCGCGCCCCATGCAGTGAGACTGCCCTGATTTCTCTGAATTATTTTTGTTTCCCAGAAACCAGGAAGGCTGAGCACCTTGCCTGAGACACGCACCTAAGGGGCTCATTAAGCCCGGCCACGGAAGGGTCTAGGGAGCCGCGTGCATGATGTAACCAAGAAAAAACATCTTGGGGAGGGGTGGTGGCTAGGGCGCCCGCATCCCCACCGCAGCCCTGGATCCCTGTCTCCCTCTCTCTGGACCCCGGCTTTGGGAAGGAAACAGTCAGCAAGTGTACCTGTGGCCCCTCCCAAGAGGCCGCAGCCCTGGAGGAAAAGCAGGCAAGGCAGTGTTTATGGCTTGATATCCCTGAGGAGTGGCAGGGAAGGGTGGACACGGGAGTAATGTTTAACCACGGACGGCTGCGCAAGGCTTCTCCACCGAGGTGGACCCCTCCTGGGCTGCCAGAGCGGGCCTCGGAGATATCCGGTCCAACCTGTCACTACAAGGTGAGGAAGCTAATGGCTGAGAGGCGAGGTCCTCTGGTGGCGGAGGGAGGAGTTAGAGGGAGGACATGCCTCCTTCCCCCAAGCCCCAGTCCTCCATCTTTGAACCAGGCGTGTGGAGGGGACTGGTTCGAAGCCTGCAGCCCCAAAGCAGAGCTTCAGACCGAGCTCCTGGGCCGCAGGGTCACTGCCTGTGTTTCTCTGGGAAGCACCCCCGTGCCTCAGACACTGCCTGCACAGGGTAGGTGCTCAGTTAGTGAATTCATGAACAAAAGCCCAGCCGGCAGCTTGCCCCCTGGACACCCCAAAAGCTTCCTGGATGGGTAAAGAGCTTTCTGCCTTACCCATTCACACAGAACCTGCCCTGGTTCCTGGGACACTCTCCCTAACCAACCTCCTCATTCTACCATTGAGGAAACTGAGGCGCGGGAGGGGGCCAGTCACATGGCTGGTTTGGGAGGAGTTAGGGTGCATTGATTCTTCGTCCCAGTTCCTTCCCATGCCTCCTGGAGTTGGAGAGACTCTGGGGGTCTCCAGGTGCCCGGGGATGAAGACGCTCTTTCTAGGTGCCCCCCTCCACATGCACCCTCATTGGAAGCCTGGTGTCTTCAGGGCATCTCGAAGGGACTTCAGGCGACAGGTAGCGTGTAAAGAGGCCCGGTGGCGGCGGTGGGGCCGAGGCTGGCTGCTGCAGCTGTGGGTGGGCCTCGTGGGAACCAAGCCTCAGCTGGGACAGTTAACAACCCAGTGGGGCGTGGGACACACGCAGGGCACATGGCTGGCCGGGCAGGTGACGCCCTTCCTGTTGGCAAGGTCAGAGAAGTGGGCAGGCGCCATCCTTAACCTGGAACTTGATCTTGGGCAAGTCACTTAACTAATCTCTTTATGCCTCATCTGTAAAATGGGGATACTGAGATAAGGATTTGATGAAGTAATGTATGCAAAGTGCTTAGAACAGTGCCTGGCACACAGTAAGCCGCCCAAACATCTGTTAAACTTTCAACAAAGGCACTCAGTAAATACCTGATGAATTATTTTGTTCATGTGACAACAGGCTTGTATTTTATTAATCATTATTATTAATTTCAAAGAAAAAATGCTGGAGTGCAAGAACAGGGATGAGCCCTGGCTGATGTGGTTCAGCGGACTGAGTGCCAGCCTGTGAACCAAAAGGTCGCCGGTTTGATTCCCAGTCAAGGCACAGGCCTGGGTTGAGGGCCAGGTCTCCAGTTGGGCGCGTGCGAGAGGCAACCAATTGATGTATCTCCTGCGCACGGCTGTTTCTCTCCCTCTCTTTCCCCCTCCCTTCCCGTCTCTCTAAAAAATTACAATAAATAAAATCTTAAAAAAAGTGATAAGATTTTTTCCTAATGAAATACATTTGTAATGAAAAAAAGATGTTAATGACTATTTCCATGTGTAAGAAGTAGCACTTAGTATTTGATATAAATTGTTCAACATTTCTCAAGTTCATAAATAAGTCTCAATAACAAACGGGAAATTAGGGTTCTCAGGATTCTTCGTATTATAAGTGATCTAACTCAAGTTTAAGTCCCTGGCAAGTCTAGGGTGCTCCAGCTTCAGGCATGGCTGGATCATGATGCCCAAACAATGTCAGAAGGGGTCAGTGTGTCACCCTACCTGCTCTGCTCTGGGCTGGCTGTGTCCTCAGCAGGGACCACTCGTGGTAGTATGATGGGTGCAGAAACACCAGCTTAGCCACCCCAGGCCGGGGCGCATCTCTCTACCGTTTACTACTTCCCCGGTAGTTCCTACAGAAGTCCCAGGCCTGGCTCTCCTTGGTCCAACTTCAGTCATGTGGCTAATTCCTGACCTGAGTCACTGTGGCCAGGAGATGAAGGTGAGAAAGGCAAGGCTGGGTCCCAGGCCCTCCCCGGAGCCCGGGGAATAGGGTCAGCTCTCTTAACCATAGGGACTGTGGGTGAGGAAGGGGCAACTCCGGAAGGGCGTCAGTGCCGGGGCGGGGGAGGAGGGCACAGACGCCGGGCTGACACCACCACTTTGGCTCAGATCCAGGTATGAGTAAGCTGCCGCTCAGAGGTGCATCCCTTGGCCGAGCCACATCCTCAGGTGGGACAAACTCAATGAATGTCCCGCAGTTCTCGGACACCAAGGCAGCATTCCCTCTTTCCATTGCTTCACAGGAACCTGTGGGTGGGAAAGCAAAGTCCTGCTGAGAGGACGATGCTAAGTGAACTGAACGCTGGGCAGGGCCTGGGGGCAGGGACATTGTGGGGACTCCCCAGGGCATTAGAGAGGAATGGACTAACTCACTTCAGCACAGAATGGTGCGAGTCTCCTTAAAACCAGAATCTGCAAAGAGCCAGGCTTCCTAGGAACCCAGTGTCAGCACCCGGGCTCGGTGACGCCATCACTGCCAGTCCTTTGCAAGAGTTTGCCACGTTCCCGCCTCCCAGCCCTGCCAGGCCCGCTGCCTCTTCCAAAGCCTTGTGCTTCTGATTCTCTGCTATTCCTTTAACACAGCGGTCCCCAACCTTTAGGGCACCAGAGACTGTTTTCATGGAAGACAGTTTTTCCATGGGCAGGGCTGGGGAGTGAGGGATGGGGGCGGACAGGAGGCGGAGCTCAGGCAGCAAATGAGAGCTTCTAGCCCCGCCCCCGCTCACCTCCTGCTGTGCATCCCTGGTTCCTACCAGGTCACGGACAGGTACCAGTCCCTGGGATAGGGGTGGGGGTCCCCTGCTTTACCATGCACCTTCCCAGGAAGCTGACTCACACTTCTGGAAGTGGGCAGGGAGCACGAATAATAAACAGAAAAGCTCCGAACAGTCCTAAAGCCTCCCAACGCTTTGTGGGACATGGCAGCGGTGACCACAGCTCCCAGGTTTCCCCAGGTGGTACAAGTCCCAGAGGGGCTTGAGTTCACATCCCTACTTTGCCACTTCTAGTGGGGATGGGGGGATATTAAATTAAAGGAATAATATTGGCTGGTAGAAGGCCTTAAGTGTCATGGTGAAATATAAAGCAAAATATAGGATTTGGGGAATATGGGTAGGGGATTCAGCGGTTTCTAATTTAAATAGGGCGATCAGGCAGGGCCTTGCTCAGATATTTGAATATACTTTTCTGAGACACTGGAGACACTGGAATTTGAACAAAGCACTGAAGAGGGAGAGGTGACAAGGAGGTATGGCTTAGGGGCTGTGGGAATGGCTGGCGGGTTGGAGGGTTGCTACAGGGACAGCGAGGAGGAGGTGATCAGAGCAGAGAACCGAGGGGGCCACCCACTCGGGGCCTCAGTGGCCACCAGAGATCTCGGGCTCTAACTCTGAAGGATACAGGGAGCACCCAGGGCTTAGAGCCGAGGAGTTACAAGATCTGCACAGCGGTTACAGAAATCCCTCCGCCCTGGGGAAGCGGAACAGGGGCCTGGCTGAGAGGCTGCTGCAGCAATCCGGCGAGTGGAGCGCCGGCTCTTGTGTCAGTGGCGATAACAGGGTGGCCGGGTCTCAGGTTGCTGAGCGAAGGCTCAGTAACTACTCCCCACTCAGTCCCCAGGCCAAGCCCCACGGAGACAGCACGGCCCTGCTCTGGAGGGGCGGACGTGGGCACGGGTATTGGCAGAGCCCAGATTTTCAACTCCTTCCCCACTCCTCGGGTTCTGGAAAGGCCTGAAGATGTCATGAGCCCTTGGGTGGGTGGTGGGGGTGTGAATAACAGCTCACTTTGTCATCTGGACATTGGAGAGGACACCTCCTCTGCCACCCACATCAGGCAGCTGGGCCGAGATCTTCAGGGAAGATGCTTGGACACCCGGACATTCAGCTGTGGCCTGCTCACTTTACTCAATGATGGCGGGGAGACCCCCCCCCTTAAGGGGCGTGGCTGCTAGAGCAGGGCAGGGCAGGCCTGGGGTCTGTAGGCGGTTGCCATATCAGTGATTAGGTTGCACATTCAAACTTCGAGTTCTTTGTTTACTAATAAGTAGGACAAAACCTACACACTTGGGAATGCTGCTGCCGCGTGCGAGCTGGAGTTTCTGTCTTGAGCACGTGCTCCCAAAAAATAAAACTTGCATCACAGATGTGTTTCACCAGAGGGGCGGAAAATAGGATTTCTCTTAGCAAAACTGTAACTTTAATTTAAACCTCACAGGTACACTATAGTTTAAAAGAATGAAAGAAGATTGATCCAGGACAAGCTTAAACATAAACATTTATGTACACAAATAAATAAATAGATCCAATACTTATGTATACCTCTTGCTAGTGCTTAATGATCAGCAATTATAGCTCAAGCAGGATCTTTTTGTCCTGGCTTTTTGTTGGTGGTGGTGCTGCCCCAGGATAAAGAGTGAAAGGTGACACATGAAGTCCCTGGCTGGATCAAAGGGCTTTCTCTCTTAGACGTAACACTATGCCACCAAATTTCCCTCCCCAAACACTGGGTAAACACAACTCTTTAAAAGGTTATCTACAACTTGCCCAGGCAGGGTGGCTCAGTTGGTTGGAGAGCCATCCTGTACACCAAAAAAGGTGTGGGTTCCATTGCCAGTCAGGGCACATACCTACATTTGTGGGTTCGATCCCTGGTCAGGGCACATATGGGAGGCAACCGATCGATGTTTCTCTCTCACATCGGTCTCTCTCTCTCTCTCAACCCCCCCTTTCCTCTCTCTCTCTCAAATCAATAAACACATCTTTAGGTGATGAATAAAAAATAATAATTAGCCCTGGCTGGTGTGACTCAGTGGATTGAGCACTGGCCTGTGAAACAAAGGGTCGCCGGTTGGATTCCCAGTCAGAGCACATGCCTGGGTTGCAGGCCTGGTCCCCAGTAGGGGGCATGCAAGAAACAATGACACATGGATGTTTCCCTCCCTCTCTCCCTCCTTTCCCCTCTCTCTAAAAATAAATAAAATATTTTTGAAAATAATTGTTTTTAAAAACGTATCTAGAACTCTACCCTCAAGTTACAATCCACTTAGAAACTCTCCCTTCAAAACCAGGTTTCACAGCTGTCAGGATTTGGGTATTTTAATTTCATGATTCTTTCTCCTGAACATATTCACAGTTATAAATAACTACAGCTCTACAGATCATCTTTCCCAGTTTTCTTCCAAAGGTATTCCCTAAAGATTTTATTTCAAGAGCACCCTTTCCTCCTTTCCAGCAGGCAAACGAAAATAGTGCCTGTCACTAGGGTCCTACATTTATCTTTAAAAGCCCCCACACCCCCTGCCATAGATTTCTAGGTATAGGCAAATATTACTCAAAAGTGAAACCCAGTTACTTCCTGGTCTATTATTTCACAGCGCTTCCAGGTTTCTGCAGCTGATATTCACTGTAATGCTACTCTGTGGCCCCTGGGAGGCCCCAACAACAGCTTGGACAGGCCCGGGCTTGACGCCTGACATTTAAACAAGGATTTCAATGCTGGTGGCAACAGTAAAGTAAAGCAATCCGCAAGTGCTTAAGGAAATAATTTTAAGTTTCCCTTAAACCTCCTCCAGAGGTAACAGTTGAATTGTAGGGATTTTCAAATTTTTGTGACTGTGACTCTTCGTGAGAAGTACACACACCCATATAAATATCTGAAACAAACACTACAGACCTTTTAATTCATGGGCAAAAGCAGCAACACTTTCTGCTCTAATTTTTGCTAGTGCCATGAGGCTGAGCCATCTGAAACTGATACCTTTGTAGTCAACACGGTCAAGTAGGGGCAATTTCCTATGGTTCAATTTATGTGTGACACTAAAGTAATTTCACAGTCTTCTTAATGGGCTGCGCACATCCCATCCTTTGAAAAGCATTGTGTAGTGGATTATTGCTATTTTTAACATTAAAATAGGATTGAAGTTCCCTTTCTTCATTTGGTATGGCATGGACATCTTTCCACATAGCCACGTTACAGCTCCACCTCATCCTTCTCAAAGGCTTCATGGAGTCGACCACACACATGGACCCCAGCTTAGGTAACTGATCCCCACAGAAGGCACGTAGATTTCTCAGGGACCCAGAAAAACAGTGCACCTTCTTTCAACCAGACCTGAATTTAAGTTACTGTCCAAATGCCTTAAACTCTCTGGACTCCACCATCACATCTACAAAAAAAAATAAACCTCACACGGTTGCCAGGAGGATGAAGCCAAAAACAGAGAAATCAGCCACTATCTTCAGCTGGTACCTGACTCCTTTCCCAAGCATGAGACAGAGCCTTCTCTGTGCTGCCCACTCACAATGACCATGCAGTCGGCTGGGGGAAGGGCTCAAACTAAGACAATAAGGACCCAGGCCAGGTGGCTCAATCTTCTGCATATCCCAAGGTTGGGGGTTGATCCTGGTCAGAGCACAAACAAGAATCAACCAATGAATGCATGAATAAGTGAAACAACAAATCAATGTTTGTCTCTCTCTCTAAAACGAATTAAAAAAAAAAAAAGACAATAAGGCACACCCTTCTGAGTTCACAATATGCCCAACCCCTGGCCTCAGTTTCATCACTTTTTTCTGGACATGACCATTAAGGTAAAGAACCAAACTCTTGCACAGTCATTTATTCAACAATAATTACAGAGCACCTACTATATGCCAGTCACTATGCTAGGCACCATGTGAGCCTCAACTTCCTTATCAGCAAATCGAAGAATTTTGCTTCTTAACAGAGAAACGATGGGCATCTTGGAGCGGGATAATTCTTTTGCGAGTCTGTCCACTGCTCTCTTAACAAGAGACCTACCTGGTAACTGGGACAACCCCATGACGCCATCGCACATTTCGAAACGGCCCCTAGGGGGCACTTTCGCCCTCCACGGAGAACTGCACGCCCACCCTACCAGGGAAAGGGGTAGGTACTATAACTGGCAGGTTCAGGATGATGCCAAGGCCTAAGATGAGGAGGACCTGGACCACGTTTCCGGGGAACAGGGACTTACACTGGCCCCGGGTTGAGTTCGTCAGCAATCTTGGGGCTATCGGTTCTGACTCCCGAGTCAGAACTCTTACTCTTCATGTAGCCAAGACAAAACCCAGGAACTTCAGGTTTCCGTCCCCGGCCGAGCCTGGGGTTCTGGGTAGGTAGGAGTGGCGGCGCCCTCGTCCTTCAAGCCCTAGGGACGCAAAGGGTTAAAGCAGGTGGCGGCGCAGAAGCCCCCATCACCGCTAGAGGGGCTAGCTCAGCGGCACCGCTCGCAACCTCATGGTCACGTGGGAGCGAGGGCGGGACTAAGTGAGAGGCCGACCAATAGGCTGCGCAGTTGGTGGGCGTGATAGCCAATAGGGACAGGGAAAGGGGTCCCAGGACTAGGAAGGAACGGCAGCCGGTAGGGGGCTTCGGGGACCATGGGCCTTCTGACCATCCTAAAGAAGATGAAGCAGAAAGAGCGGGAGCTGCGACTACTCATGCTGTATCCTCCAGGACGCCGGAGCCGCCAGGGTAGCGGGGCCCCGCCGGCGGGCGGGGCTGGGCGCCCCCTACTGGGTGCGGGGTGCGCGGCCGGTCGGCCTGCCCCAACTGCCCATTGTGCGTCACGTACTGGGCCCTACCAATCACTTTAGCAGGGAGCCAGGAGGAGGCCGAACCACTGGCTCGGGGCGGGGGGACTCTGTTCCTAAGGCCAAAGCTGTGGGCCTAAAGGTGCAGCAGTCGGACCAGGTGTCCCAATGTAGGGGGGATATGGGTCCCGGATGTGACTCGGACGCCACCGCTCTTAGGTCTGGCCCTGGCGTGGGGCCGTTGCCCTCCTTGGCTCTCACCTCCTCCCCCAGTCGGAGGGAGCCAGGCTCCGACCCCGCCCTCAGTTCCAGGGAGAAGCGAGTGTGGACTCCACGCGGGTCCTTTCGCGGGTGGGCCGGGCCGTCCGTTTCTTTGCTGCCACATGGTCCGTCGATGTACCCGCGGGTGACGGCGTATAGGCTCCACCGACCTTCCGAATCCCATTAACAGGCTTCTGCACTTTTCTGCTCTACTCCGTCCGAGGCCCCGTGGTGGGAAAGAGCTGGGCCCTCCTCACCCCCAGCTACCCTAGCGGGGAGAAGAAATATTTACGTATGCAAATAACTGAAAAATAATATTCACAACGTGTCTGTTTTAAAGAGCCCTAAGATAGGCACAGAGAATTCACTATCCATTACATATTTACTGAGCACCTGTGCACTAGGCACTGTCCTAGGGGCTGGATAAAACAGCAAAACAAGAACAACCCCTACCTTCATGGACATTCTGTAATGCTGGCGGGAGAAAGATGTTAAAGTAAATGAGAAAATGTATAGTATGTACAGAGAAGACTAGTTTAAATGAGGTGGTACAGAAGGCCAAATTGAGAGGGTGACAGTTGAGTGAAGACAGGTGAGGGATGAACCACGTAAATATCTGGGGACATTTCTTTAAGCAAAGGAAACAGCGAGTGCAGCAAGCTCCGGGGCGGAGGAACTCCAGTGGGGGTCTTCAGGGACTGACCTTAGCGAGAGCAGTTAAGGGGCACGGAGCAAAAGCGTCATGGGTTGAAGAAAGAGCAGGACAGAAATTGGAGGTGAGAATGGAAAGGTTTTGAGGAGATGTGCTGTTAAGGGAGGGAAATAAGGGGGAGAGGGATCAAGAGAGGATGTTGTCTGCTGCTTTTAAGGTGGGAGAGAGCCCGAGTTTGTTGGCGGAGGGGCATGATCCCGAGGAGAAGGAAGCGTGGATCTGGGAGTTGAGGGGATAATCAGTGGCCTGTTATCAGGGGCTAAGGCTGGGTCTCAGGAGAGGTTCTTTGTCACTCCTCTGTCACTGGTTTGAGTCACTTGCTCCAATCAGGTGAGCAGGAAGGCTGCTGAGTCCAGGGCCTGGGCCCCCTTCCCAGCTGCAAGCCCCCCGTCAGTGTCAGGAGGAAAGAGGAGGGTGGTTCTCCCTTGCTGGTGAACTCACATTTGCCCACTCAGCAGCAAAAGATTTGGAATAATACAGAAACAAGTGAGGATGGCTACCTTCAGAGACTTGCTCTTGCTGTTCCCTCTGTGTAGAAGGTTCTTTCACCAGTTCTTCAAAACGCTGGCTCCTTGTAGTTTGGGTCTTAACCTGAGACCCTCAGAGAGGCCCTCCCTGATGCCACACTAAAGGAAGCCCCTCCAATGGCCCTCTCGGGAAACCTCTTCATTGAATTTCTTGGGGTTTTTTTTTCTTTGTTGTATTTCTAACACTCACCAGCATCTGACTACGTTGTTTCTCATCGGTTTGCACTCTCTCAGCTGTCTCCACACTAGAGCGTAAGCCCCGCAAGGGCGGACTTTGACCCGGGGCCCCCAGAAGAGGGTCTGGCACTTAGCAGGTGTTCAATAAATACTGTGGAGTGAATTAAGGAGCCTTCGGTCTGGAGATGATAAGATACTGGTCTCCTGATACTTCCACATTCACCATGGACTGATTGCGGGCCAGTCTCACACTCAACTCATTTTGGTAGGTAGTGGGGAATGATTTGTCCCCTAAGAGGGCCACTGCGCACCTTGCAGTGCCACCTGGCAGAGTACAGGCGTTTCTCCTTAACCTGGTGTGTCCCAGCGGCCTAGACAATGCTGGCAAAACAACTATCCTCAAGAAGTTCAATGGAGAAGACATCGACACCATCTCCCCGACGCTGGGCTTCAACATCAAGACCCTGGAGCACCGGGGGTGAGCGGAGTCCCTGCCGGCCGGCCCGCCCAGAGCAGGGTAGGGAGGGTGGGTCAGGGGCCAGGCTGACCTTCCAGCCACCTGCTTCCTGCCTAGATTCAAGCTGAACATCTGGGATGTTGGCGGCCAGAAGTCCCTCCGGTCCTACTGGCGGAACTACTTTGAGAGCACCGACGGCCTCATCTGGGTGGTGGACAGCGCCGACCGCCAGCGCATGCAGGACTGCCAGCGGGAGCTCCAGAGCCTGCTGGTGGAGGAGGTGGGCAGGGGGCCTGGCTGGGTGGGAAGGGGGTGGAGCCGGGCTCCCACCCCATCCAGGCCCCAGCGCTGTGTGCACATACGTGGACGTGTGGACACCTTCCTCGGCAGATTTTCTGAGCCCTCACCGTGTGCCCAGCACCCTGGGGAGGCAGGGACAACCTGTACACCTGGTCCAGGGAGGCCCGTGGTGCCACGTGCAGGTCATGCTGTGGACCGAGACCTGGGTTCACATTCCTGTGATGTCACTGCTTCACCCTCCGTAGCTTCAGGTTCCCCACCTCCCGTCAAGCTTTAGGAAGGTGACTGCAGGCCAGCGCTTGAAGCTTTGGGAGCCAGTGGAGTCTGGCTCAGGAGTCAGACTCCTCACTGTGTGCCCTCAGGCAAGGCACTGACCCTCTCTGAGCCTCCACTCCCTCATCTCTAAGATGGGCATTAGAGTTGGGGTGGTCTTGGTTACCTGGTATTACAGTAGCCGCCTCCCAAGGGTGTCAAGCAGGTCCAATGAGATTAAACGCCCGGGCCTGGGCTGGATCCACCCACCCGCATGGGGCGACTCCCAGGGCTCAACACATACAAGGAAATAACTGGAATCAGGGCAGCGGGACAGTTGAAGGGCTCCATGAACAAGAGAGAGAGTGGGAGAGGCCGTTTCCAGCAGACCCCACGTCCTCTGGGGGCAGTCACATTTTTTGTGCATGTCAGTTTCATGAGGTGGAGCAGTGGAGGACCACAGTGGACTCTAGGATCACCTCGTGCATCACCCCCTCCCCATTTATGAAAGAGGAAACAGGCATAGAGGAGAAGGGTGCCCACTGGGTGGTGACTGGACTAGAACCAGGGCCCTGGCCCAGCCCGGGGCTCCCTCTGCCCCATGTGACCCGGCCTCAAGGCAGTGTCCATGCTGCCTACCTCACTTGGGCCTCGCCGGCCACCACAGTGCCTTGCCCTGGTTTTCCAGGTTGGTCTCTGGCCCCAGATGCTCTGGGTGATTGGCTGAGGGGCCAGCCTGCCCCTGAGCCCCTGTCCCCTCTGTTTCTCTCTGGCAGCGCCTGGCTGGAGCCACTCTCCTCATCTTTGCTAACAAGCAGGACCTGCCTGGAGCACTGTCTTCTAATGCCATTCGCGAGGTGAGTGCGGGCCTTGGCACAGGCTCATGGAGGAAAAGAGGCACGTGCTGATTTGTTAATTTATTCTAAGAACACTTACGGACCCCTGCCGCGCGGCAGGACCTACTCAGGCTGTGGAGACTGAGTGATCTGTAAGAGCAGTGGTCTCACAGCCTGGGGAAGGCAGGCCTGCAAACGGATCGTTGCACAGATAACTGGCCAATAGTGAGTGCTTTCCGTGTGCCAGGCTCTTTGCGTCGTTCACTCATTCAGTTCCCACCGCGACCTCATGAAATAGGAACTACTGTCATCCTACAGATGATGAAGCAAGGTTAGAGAGGTAGGCCACTCGCCCAAGGTCACACAGCCAGTAAGTAGACAAGCCAGGATTTAGACACAGGCCTATCTGACCCTAGAGTCTTAACCATTATTCTAGAGCTTCAGCACCAGAATGAGAAAGAGTGGTTAGAATCTTGGTTCTGCCACTTATTAGCTGTGTGACCTCAGGCAGGTTGCTTAACCTCTCTGAGCTTTGGTTTTCTCCTTGGTAAAATGGCCAGCATAGACCCTGGGTAGCGTGGCCTTGGGAGGAATGGACAAGAGGACATGAGTAGGCCCCAAAGCACAGTGCCTGGGCATTAACAGGTACTCAGAAGCCTGTGTTGCTGCTTTCTTCCTAAGGGGTAGTGCTGACGTGACCACGTCCAGAGCCCGGTGCCATGCCTCAGAGGGCTGACAGGCCTTCACTGGGGACCAGGGGAAGTTTCCCAGGGCAGGACCTTGAGGAGGCATGGCTTTCCCCGGGCCAGGAGAGGAAGGGAGCTGCACGCAGACGGGCTGGGTCCCCAGCCCCATCAGCACTGTGTCCCGTTTCAGGCCCTGGAGCTGGACTCCATCCGCAGCCATCACTGGTGCATCCAGGGCTGCAGCGCCGTCACCGGGGATAACCTGCTGCTGGGCATCGACTGGCTCCTGGACGACATCTCCAGCCGCATCTTCACAGCTGACTGAGCCACTCCAGATGCCCCCGCCCCTCAGTCGGGCGCCCCCCCACCCCCGGCCCTCACCAAGTAACACCCAAGGGGGGACGGGAATCAGCAAGTCCAACTAACACTCCCTGTCCCCCTCCGTAACCTGCTGCTGCTGCCCACTGCTGCCCCACGGCCAGCCTGGCTCCCGTGGCGGGCGGACTGCCGTCCTGGCTGTCACCCAGGCTCCTGACCCGGCCCTCCTGCAGCTGCCTCCCCCGGGCCAGGGCCGGGGCCGGGGCTGGGGCTGGGAGGGGGCCGCCTCTGCTGCTACCAAGGCTATGGGCCTCGTCCTTTGCTCAGCTGTGAGAATAAACTGTTCCTGTCCTGATCCTGGCTGCGTCGTTTGTTGGCTCGACAGCCTTAGAGACCACCCAGGGCCCACGGTCCAGTCGGAGGGGTAACTGCTGCCGTGCGCATGAGACGTGCAGAGACTGTAGAAGCACAGGGCCGGGCTGCGAGTAATGCCATTTAGAAGAGTCTAGGCAGGCTTCCCGGAGGAGGTGATGTAAAAACTGGGAGTAAAGAATGAGTAGAAGTTTTCCGGGCAGAGGAAGAGGAAGGACAGTTTACCAGAATGACTGCTGCCCTCACTGGTATGAATCAGAAAAAGAGATACACCCCCACATCAAGGCTCACAGCTTCTTGAAGGGGGAACATGGGCTGAATTTCAGCCCCCAACTTCCTGCCACAGCCAGGAACCCATGTGCAGTGGACAGCCTGCGAAGGGAATCACATGACAGGAATGAAAAGCAGGGGCTCTCGGGAAATACAGAGGGGTGAGGACTCAGGCAGGGACAGCCAACCAAGAGCAGAGCCAGGAAGGGGCCTTCCCTGGAGGCTGCAGCGTACTCTCTGAAGCAGGGGCCAGTCTGGGAAGGATGGGAACCAGGCAACCCCAGCGTGGCAGGACAGATGGGTGTTTCCACAGGGCCTTTTGCTGTGATCCCAACCGTGGCTGCTTACTCTGCTGGGTTCTGTTCGAAGCACCTGCTACTTGCTGTCACATTTAAGGACAACCCTAAGCAGTATAGACTCAGTATCCCATTTACGTGGGAACTGAAGCACCAGCAGGTTACGTGACTTGCCCAAAGCCACCCAAGGAGGAAGTGAGGGAGCTGGGATTTGGACCCAGGGTGGATTTAGCCACTGCCCCTACAAACTGCTTTCAGTTTTTGCCTCTGCTCGAAATTCAAACACCAGGGAGAGGGATCTAATGTGTCTAATGAGGAAAGGGTAGTATTCCCAAGGGAAAGCCAAGGAAGAGACACCCATTTACTCCTAAACTAGCACTAGGATCCCTTCCTGGAGCGGAGACCCGTGCAAAATCTGGGCTCTGTCAGGGAGGATGAAAGAAGGGAAACGGGAGTTGGGCGGATAACCTCAGGATGTCAGCTGTCCTCCAGTGTGGAAATGAGAACCGCTTGCCCTGTCTGCTGTGCAAGACGGGCACCGTGGACCCACACACCCAAGTCTCGTGCTAAGTGAACATACCCAGGCTCCAGAGCCAAGCCCCAGCTCTGCCACTTCACTGGGTGATGCCGAACAAGTCACCTAACCTATCTTTGCCTCAGTTTCCCCATCCGTGGAAAGATAATGGCACCTACCTCCTAGCATTGGGATGAGCAAATGTATGGGTGTCTTGTGCGTCTTAAGTGCTGTACAATGCTGGCTTTAATTATCATTGCATGAGCCAGTAGGAGCGCAAGCAGACCCATGCAATGTGAGCTCAGCCATCCACTGATCCGGGTGAGTCACCCCAGTGTTCAAGTTCTCCTGGGGGCCCTTAGTAAGCAGCATCCTTGATTTAAAATGTGAATTATGCATGGCTAGAGACAAGAAAATAACACAGTTATTATACTCATCACAAAGGACTATGGATGTGGCAGAAAGTCTACATCACATGGTCAAGCAGTGCGGATGTAGGCGGTGGGCCCCGAGCAGCTGCGCGCTGGCTGCTTTTCCCTCTCCCTCTCTTCTGTAAGTCTCTTCTGTTTGCTTCTCCTAATAAAGGAACTGGGGGAGTTGGCAATCTGGAGAAGGCCAGAGGCTACACTGATCTAGACAGGAAAGGGTTTGCAGGGGACAGGAAAAAAGAAAGCAGAAAGGGGTGAATTGGAAGGGGCTGGGTCAGGGAGAGGAGGTAATGAAGGGTGAGAAGGAGGCTTGGAGCCACAGCCCCGCCCAGAAAGATTCGGAGAGCAGCAGCCAGGTCTACAGAGGTCCTTAGAGGAACCCTGGTGTGTGCGGTGCGAGGGGACACCGCCCAATCCCAGCCTCCTCCTAGATGAACTCGCTCATTTCTGAGTATCCAAGAGTCTGATTTGGGATTTTACTTTGGGTTCCTATCTGGAGACAGTGCCCATACAGCTGAGTTCGAGTAACAAGAGTGGCCGTGAGTGCTAAAGTGTGTCACCCATAGTCAGGGTCCTCAATGGCCTGTCCTGGAAACACATTACAACTGCTTTTGGCCAAAAGGACGTTTCTCGGAAGGACCCTGGAGACTCACAGCATCCCTATGGAGATGGGATGTCCAGTCTTGGAAAACAGAGTGCTTCAGAGGCCAAGTGGCCAACCCACAGCCAACAGTGCTCCCGGGGACAAGTTGGTCTCCTTGCCAGGCACTGTGCCGTCTGTTCCCCACTCAAGATTCAAGTCCTCAGGATGGAGTCCCTCACTGCCACCTGGGACCTGGGACAAGAAAAGGGACTGGTACCTTTGCATTCTGTGTTAGGAGGCTGGAGGGCTACACATACTAGAAAACTACCTCCAAAGGTCTGGTGCTACAATAATAACAGGAAGGGGAAAAAAAGAAATATCCCAATTCTAGGGATAAGAAACTGAGGCTTGAGTAGTAATGGGAAAGTCATACAGTTAGGAAGAAGTGTGACTTTGGAACCCATGACACCGGCTTGCTTCTGCGTAGTTCTTTTTGCTCCCTGCACCCATCCAGAAAATAGTACATTAGGGGATCCTATGGAAGGAGACAGGAAAATAATTTAGCTACGTCTGGTGTATATTGGACACAATAAAAACTGGGTGAAGGAATGAAAGGGAATTGGAAAGCAGAGAAGCGTTTGGAGGTATGTGATGAGTGTTTGCGCTAAGATGAGTGACCCATCTTCCCCATTCCTTACCCTCAATCACCTACTTTACGTTTTACCAACGACCGAGACCTTTTTAGACGCTCCCTTGGCCGCGCGCAAGGACCTAGAACTGCGCTGTCAATTGCTAGCAGCTCCCTAGGCCAGAGAAGGAAGGGCGCAAGCCCGGGAAAGGCGGTGGCTGGCAGCGGCTGACCTGGAGGGGCGGGGGCTCAGCTCCGCCCCAGCTGGGCTGCCATGTCCCGCCGGGCGAAAGACGACTTCTTGCGGCACTACACAGTCTCCGACCCCCGGACCCACCCCAAGGGCTACACCGAGTATAAAGTAACCGCACAGGTGAGGTGGGACCCAGCGGGGACGTTACCCTTTTAACAAGAGAGGGGCCGTGTTTTAACGCGAGGCGCTGTTGAAAGCTCCTTTTTGGAGGACAGAAATAGGTTTTCCCTTTAAGGGGCGGTGTAGGTTCCCGGCTTCGCTTGCCTCTTTGGGCACTAGGGGGCGGAGCTATGGGAGGGCTCTGTCCTCTTAAAAGGGTGTGGACTGCAGGTCCTAGACCTGCGAGTTGAGGGTGCCCACGCCCAAGTATGATGTTTAGGAATCATGCTGTGAATTTCTTTAAATTAACATCGAAATCTAACATCTAAAATCTAACATGAAATCTCTGGCTCACCCCAAATATTAGTTCTCCAATCTCTCGCAGTAAGTTTTGTTTTTTAGTTTGTTATTTCCATAAAAGTCCTTTAAAGAGTTTATTTTTAATTAAAAAAAACGTATTTCTCAATAACTTTAAAAACTCATACAGTTCAAAAGAACCTAAGGAGTATGTTACCATCTTCACAGTCATAGCAGGAAGACCAATAAAGACTAAAGTTGATACATGAAGCAGTAACAACATTATAAGCACATTATAAAGAGACTGTGAAAAGAAAAACAGAAACAATATAACAATATCTGTAGAATGAAACACAAGAACTGGTTGGGTGAAGACTTCACTGTAAACTTTTTTGTACCTTTAGAATTTTCACTAGGCAACTATTAAACTTGTGCTGTAGTTACTACAGTGGAGCAAAAATATAGACACTTCCACTTGGGCTGGTGTGGTTCAGTGGACTGAGCACTGGCCTGCAAACCAAAGGGGTCGCTGGTTTGATTCCCAGTCAGGGCACATGCCTGGGTTACAGGCCAGGTCCCTGGTAGGGGGCACATGAGAAGCAACCATACATTGATGTTTCTCTCCTTCTCTTTCTTCCTCCATCCCCTCTCTCTAAAAATAAGTAAGTTAAATTAAAAGATACATAAAAGACACTTCCATAAGTGGGGATCCTAGATGTTTAAAATAAACTTTCCCCAAGTCTTTTATTCTTTTATAACGTCTTCCCCTTGTCTAAAAAATACAATAAGGGGGGACTGTAACCTTTTCCTATATACCCTCTGTTGGCTTTTTAAATAAGTAACGTGCATTACTTTGATATGCTTTTATAACTTTTCAGATAAATAATTGTCCCTCCCTTACCCCCATTTGTCATTTTCATAGGAACCATTGCTTCTAGTTTATTTATCCTTACAGATAAATTTAAAAGCAAATATAAGTATCCATTTTATTATTACTTACACACAATGAATGGTGTTCTGCACCCTGTACTTTTCACTTGCTGATATTAATTTTTTTTGTTTCGCCTTTTAATTTTTTTAAACTGAGACATAATTTACATGAAGCCATAGGCCCAAATCTTAAGTATACAGCTCAATAATTTCTACATATGTAGACATCTGTGCAAACACCACACAGATCAAGATGCAGACATTTTCGCCCACCCAGAAAGTTTCTTTGCACCTTTCTGGTTGATGGCCCTCCTGCAGCAATAGCCGCTGTCCCCACTCCTGTCACCGTGGATTAGTCTGTCTGTTCTCGAACCTCATACTCACAGCAAGTGCTCTTTGTGTCTGGCCTTTTTCACTCAACATAATGTTTTTGGAATTCACCCATGTTGCACATGGAAGTAGTTTGTTCTTTTTTATTGCTGGGTAGTTACAGTCCATTGTATGGAATATACCATCATTTCTTTATTCACTCTTCTGTTGTTGGACATTTGGATTTCTAGAAAATTTTTTGTCTTTATGGGTAAAGTTGTATGAGCACTATACATATGTACAAGTCTTTTTTATGGTCATAGGTACTCATTTCTCCTTGTTATATATCTTGGAGTGGACTTACTGGGTCATTAGAGTATTAATTGGCA